AATGAGTTCAGTGACTACATGGTAAGACCCTGTCTAAAAAACAAACAAACAAAAAATGGTGGCTGTGCCCTCACCAACCATGCCAAGGGTGTGAACTTAATATCTGACTTGTTGCTACCATCCGTCCACCTCGTTTTGCCAGATGACTCCAATGCCTCCTAAGTTACTAAATAACTGTTCACCGTCGGTTGTTCTGCTCTACCTGCCAAAGACACAGCCTCCTGTTGTCTACACCTGTGTGGGGCACATCCCACCCGAGTGGGCATGGCAGGTGCCAGGTCCCTGCCCCTCCCGGTGCCTTGTCTCCCCGGTGCTGGGCTAGGCCAGCTAGGATGACCACAACTGTCTTTACCCACAGCGCACTGAGCACCAGATGTCCTAACTCACGGAAATTGTTTTCAGAGCCCTCTGTTTGCTCCCGGGAAATCTATCAAGAGATGACAAAGGTCCGCGTGAGAAAGTCTTGGACCATTAAATCATCCAGGAGAAGCCATGCTAACCTCTAGCAAGCCAAGTAAGATTATAACTGACTGCATTATAGCCACCCAATTGGCTCTAGTTCAAAAGTCTTGTCCAATGGTGCTTTTACAATCTCTACAATTCATTGGACGCCCTTTTTAGAGTTCATTTAACCCTGGTTATGGAAGGTGGAGTTGGAGCTGCAAACTTTTATTGTTGTAGGTGATTACAGATTTTATAATCCTTTTTTTTTTAGGGTGTAGTTGTTACTCACTCAGTGCTGAGCCCTTAGGAACACACTGTCTCATTGCCATTTCCATAGTATTCTTATGAGAAAATGCAACTTATGGGGCTGGGGGTTTAGCTCAGCGGCATAAGCGCCTGCCTTGAAAGCAGGCAGTCGTGAGTTCGATCCCTGGTACCGATAAAAAGACAAAAAAAAAAAGACAAAAAAAAAAAAAAAAAAAAAAAAGAAAATGCAACTTATTTACTTTTTTTCCCATTCCATGAATGTTTTAGTGTTTAAATGAACCTCTTCCTGCCACTTGGCACACATCAGAGTTCAGCCTCTGGCTGTGCTCTGAGGCTGTGTTCGTGGGTGGTAGAGGATGCGGGTTGGGGAGACCTAAGACTGTGGGATGTCTCTGTATGATCCCTGGACAAGAAGCTCTGACCTGGGACTGGAGACTGTGACGGGTTCCCCAAATGACATAAAGGAAGGAGTCCTGAGTGTTAACAACTTTAGCTTCCCCTAGTTTCCCTGCTATGGAATTTTAGATCATCCTTGGCTCTCACTCTGGACCCACTGAATCCTGCTTCTGCCTCGGCCTTACTTTGACAAGAAGCCCTAACTAACATCCTTCCCCTACAGCCTCAGCACCTCCTGATCACCTGTGGTGTCCACCTCTTATTCTCCAGTTGTGGTGCCCAGTAAAGGGCACTTTGCAGGACTCATCTAACCAAGAATCTCGGCATGGCAGGTTATCGTGTGTTACTGTGTGTGCCCAACATCACTGCAAACGGGATGTGCGGGACTCAGGAAGGTCCGAGTTGGAGAAAGAGACCTGACTACAGAAGCAGAGGTGGGACTGGTAGGAGCCATGAGCCAAGGCAAGTGGCAGCCTTGGGTTCTGGAGAAGACAGCAGGAAGCTGCCTGCCTGCCATCTTCAGCTTGGCCCTGTGAGATCCATTTCAGACTTCTGTTCTCTGGAAGGATAAGAGGATGATCATGCACTGTTTTATACTGTAAGTCTGGGATAATTTGTTGTAGCAGCGCTAGGAAATGAACATAGCTCCCAACCCGAATTTCCTGGAAGACGGAGACTGGTTTTTTAGAGTTGTGCAAACCTTGTATGTTAGTTGTTGAGCCCTAGGAAGGGGCTATTCTGAGATGTGCTGTCAGGATAAAATGTGCACCACATTTTAAATACCTAGTATATTAGGTATGTTGGGTCAAGAAGATTGTATTATTAAATTTTCACTTATTTATTTCTACTTGTTTCCAGGTTGCCACTAAGAAACTTTACACACATAACTTGCATCCCACTTCTACTGATTAGTGCTGCTATAGAGAATCAGATCTCACCACCCCTTTTTTGATATCACTGTGAAACCCTACAGGTTGGCCCAGGCCTTCTGTTCCCAGTTTATAGGTCTTTCGTGGCTGTTGTGTCTTCCAGGACATGGGGAGAAGGCGACTGTCTCCTGGATACCTTGAACCTGTGGTCTTGGAGCCTGAGAATGATGACTTAACCCCTTTCAAATTTAATTTTGAAAAACAACAGAATTAGGCTTGGAGCAACCTGTGCAGATGAGGGACTTTAAAACTTAACTTTCATTGGTCTCATGGTAGAATTACCTCTGTCCCCACCTAGGATAACTCCCCCCCCCCCCCCCCCGCTCCAGCCTACAGGGATCTCAGTAGTCCAAAGACAACATGCAAAGTGGCCACTGCCCTTGACCTAGGTAGGCAGGATGCTCCAGCTTTGGGGAACCTCACATGTAACAAGCACAATAGGTTTGCACATGAAGGAACGTCAGGGCGGCTAGCACTTGGGGCTTGGCAAGCATCGCTGGCACAACAGAGGCATAAACTGAACATCTGCCTTCATGAGGTAGCACCACTCATACCCAGAGATTCTGCTCCCCTACATTTTTAGCTGTGTCCTGGAAACAAAAGGAATGAACCAGAATGCCGCAAGGATTTGTAAGTGGTGTTGCTGCTAACACAGACCCAGACAATTCTTCAGAGCACCACAGGAGGAGGAGGAAGAGGAGGAGGAGGAGGGGAAGCAACAGAAGAAAGACTAAGTCATCAACTTGTCAAATCCTTCTCTCAGATAGTGGTGTGCAATACATTCTTATGTAACAGTACTGTATCTGGAAAATGTAAGGTTGAGATATTTGCAACAGTTAAAATACAGCTGAAGAATATTTTGTAACATTAAACAATTCACATTATTGTTACATTTGTATATATGTGGGTCCAAATACAACATTCTTGCAACATGATCTGACTTGGGAACTAGACAAACACAATGACAACCAGATGCATGGTGGAATACTAGAATAGTGTGTGGTGTGTGTGTGTGTGTGTGTGTGTGATGTGGCGATGAACCCAGAGTCTCAAGTATGTTAGACAAGCATTGTACTACTGAGCAACATCCTCAGTTCAAATTATCAATTCTAAAATGTATTTTTAAATTTTTAACTGGCATACAGTAATAGCACATATTTGTAGGGTACGGTGTGACATCTCAACACATGTATACAATCTGTAATGTCCAGATCAGGGTAACAGACATATCTTCTCACTCTAGACAGTCTCTGCTAGCTGTTTTGAAGCAGTCAATTAATTCTTGTCAATCACAGGTATTCTTCTGTGCTCCAGAACTTTAGAAGTTATTCCTCCTACCCAGCTGTACTTCTGCACCCCGCTTTTCCTTATCTCCTCCCCCTTGCACTCTTCCCAAGCTCTGGTAACCACTATCAAAGTATATTTTTTTTTTCAGTATTAGGGGTCAAACTCAGGATCTTATGCATGATTAACAAGGACTCTGCTACTCAGCTATATCTCTACCCTTTTTTTTTTCTTTTAATTTTGAGACAGTTGAATAAGAAGCCAATTCACCTTTCCTGTGAGTCATGGGCCTGTGAGGAGTAACAAGAAGCCCTTCCCATGAGCTGACCAATGTATGGGCTTAGAGACAAGAAAAATAGTCACTCCCTCTCCCCCATAAGCAACTGGCTGGTTCAGAGGACAGGCTGAATTGATAGAAACTGAGATACAAAAATGACTTAATCAGGGCTGGGGATTTAGCTCAGCAGCATAAGCGCCTGCTTGCAAGCAGGCAGTTGTGAGTTTGATCCCCGGTACCGATAAAAAAGACAAAAAAACAAAAAACAAACAAACAAAAACCCCACAACTTAATCCTTGTATTGGTTGATTTGTGGGCCGAAGGCCAGGAGTCTGAGCATCTATTAAGAGGATGACAGTATGCAATATAGCAAATATAGGGGATTTCTTTCTGTCTTGTTTAGAAATCTAATATTGTTCTCACTGTTTTGTTTTGTTCCATTTTATTGTTTTGTTTTATTCAATGCTTTGTTTTGATTGGTTTTATCCTGTTGTGTTTTGTTATCTCTGATGGTACGGGTAGCAATTTTGAAGATAGCAAGAAGCATTATGGTAGCCATTGTTGATTTCTTTTTTTTTTTTTTTTTTTTTTTTTTTTTTTTTTTTTTTTTTGTCTTTTTCCTTTTTATCGGTACCGGGGATCGAACTCACGACCGCCTGCTTGCAAGGCAGGTGCTTATGCCGCTGAGCTAAATCCCCAGCCCCCTTTTGTTGATTTCCTATTATCTTGCTTTGAAATCCTGTATCACTTTCACTGTTTTGTTTTGATTGGCTTTATTTTGTTTTGTTTTATTCTCTTTAAAATACACTCTAATTCTTTTGTTTTGGTTAGTTTATTCTGTTTTGTTCTGTTTGATTTTATTATGTCTGATGGTATGGACAGCTATGCCATTATGGTAGCCACTGTTAATTTCTTATTATCTTGCTTTGAAGTCCTGTGTCACTTTCATTGTTCTGTTCTGATTAGCTTTATTTTGTTTTGTTTGGTTTGGTTTTATTCTCTTTTTAAAAAAATTTGAGACAGTCTTTTTTAGTGGCCCAGTCTGGCCTCAGACTTGCAATCCTCTTATCCTAGCCTCCCAAAGAACTATGATTACATATGTGTGTGCCATACCTTTTAGAATTGTAAACTTTTTATAAAAACACAATTAAACTGAAATTTAAGCTTTGAGGAATGTAAATGAAATTTCTACTTTATTCAAATGATTTTTTTTACACCCCCCCATTCAAATGATTTTGAAAACCAGATTATCACTGAGATAGAAAATACAACAGTGGGGCTCAGAGAAGAAACAGCCTGCAGGATGAGGAGACAGAGAGTGAGCTGCTTCAATTTCTAAAGACTGGAAGCAAGGAAAGTGAACAGATCTTTGCTGGTATGATGCCTGTAAAATCTGCAAACAGCAGGCCCTGGATCAAGGCTGGCAGCTTCCTGACGCTGTTGGTTTTGAGCAGGAGCCTAAAGAGATGTCTTTCTATGATTTGTTGGCCATTGCAGAACTTGAGCAGTGAAATGGTCAATTTATTAGAAAGAAACAGCTTGAAGCACCCCCCTACCCTGTGAGCGGCTATGAGTGTGGCAGGCTCCAGTGGCCCAGGATGGGAGCCACCAGCAATTACTGAGACCCACATCATGCTGGGACCTGGAACACCGGGAAACCAAGCAACCCATCCCCCCTCCCTAATTTGTTTGTTGAACTTCAATATACATGAAAGTATGGATGGCTATTTTGAAGAGAATGAGAGACTACAACAGCCATTAGTGACTTCCTTATTGTCTGGTTTTTTGAAGACCTAAAATGCCCTTCTCATTCTGTTCACATCAGTTTTATACTATGTTGTTTTGTATTTATTCTCTGTATGTGAAGACATGGACAACTATTTGGAAGAAAACAAGTGATAGATGACAGACAGTGAATATGATAGACAGTGAAGATCTTAGGTCGTCTAGCTTTGAAATTTATATCTCTTACATTGCTTTCTTATGTCCTATTTTGTTCTGTTTTGTTGTGTTTAATTTTACCCCCTTTAAAATAAAAACATATTCTAGATCAAAAAATATGCAAACAGAATTTTACAAATTCTTTATGCAACAAGAATCAATTACTAATCATATTAAAATGAGCAAAAACAAAATGGCTCCAGACCCAAAGTTTGCAAAAGATCGGATGAAATCCCTGTGAGTTTATATTCACTAAATGAAGACTTGATTATTAATGAGAACACAAAAAGAATTATTTATAAGAAATTTGTAACTCCAGAAGCCAAAAGCAACTCTGTCCATTAGCAAAGGAAGAAAATGGCATTTAGAAAAGCTGTGCGTATGTGAAAATCAAACTTCGCTATGCTAACAGGAAGGTGAACCTGAAAAATGCTTGTCACACTCTTCTGACCCATAAATATATTTCTAGCAAAATGCAATCCAAGCCAGATTAACAGCTACAATTTTCCATTGCATGAACATTGGGAAATTTAATATTTTATGCCAACATTATTTTAAATATGGAAATAAATTGTGAAAAATAGTTTTTATGTACTTTTATACATTGTGTACAAAGTACATGTTTTATTACTACTATGACACAGTTTTACAAATAATCTTCAAGAATAGCTTTGAGTAAGCAAGGTATCTGAGTTTGGAAACACATGTACAGTTTTTCTTGGTTTTGTTATTGTTGTTGTTTGTTTTTTAAGTAAAATATTACTGTGTGCAACAATATATATGCAATTATTACAAAGAAGTTTTAAAATGATTAGAAAAACCACAAAAATAAAACAATACTAAATAAAGATAAATGCTGTTGCTATATAGTATAGGACAGTCTCATAAAATATTAGTGATGAGTATAATTAATCATAAAGATTCTTTTTCTCTGGCAATAACAACTCAGTATGTATAGAAAACAAAGACATTTCTAGTTTTAGAAGAAATTATATGACAAAAAATTTCAATTTTGTAATATGGGTTTTAAAAATATATTTAAAGAGGGGCCGGGGATTTAGCTCAGTGGCATAAGTACTTGCCTGGCAAGCTCCAGGTTGTGAGTTCAATCCCATATATATATATTGGACTGGAATGGGGAGAACCAGCGTGGAAGCAATGTCCCTGCCTGTGAGCCAGGCACAGTGCAGCCAGGGAGAACCAGGAAGGTAGCTAAGCCTTCCTGTGAATCAGCCTAAAGCTGGTAGTCTGAGTCACTGTTTAGAAGACAACAATATGCAATTATAGTAACTATTGTAGATTTCCTACTGTCTTGTCACTATTTCGTTTCATTTTATTGTTATTTTATCCCTTTTAAAATAAAAATACATAAATTAAAAAGTCAGAAAAATATGTTAAAAGATCATAATATAGAATGTATAATTCAAAATAAGTATTATTTTAATGAATTGAAAGAAAGAAGAACTTATAGACAGCATATTTAGTAGATACAAAGTATACTCATATTAAAATGAGGTTCAATTAGGTTATAACATAAAAACCAAGCCTTATGATTTTTTTCTGGGGAACCACCTGGACAACTCTCCTTGAATAAAGAGCAATTATCTCCATTTTTGCTGAATCTGCCCTATCTCCATGTACTGATAGGTCCAGAGCTGGCTAGGCCGTGTCTTTATCCCTCTAAGTGGCTTTAAACAGTGTAAATAGGGCTAGCTGAGGTACTGATGTGTAATCTTTGAAGCTAGGTAACAGTTGACAGTCTCTGTTTCCCCACCCCATGACTCCCCAAAACATGGCTGAGCTGGAGCCATCATTTCCTAGTGTCAACTGGGAACCAGCCTTGAGATAAGAGGCTATGATTTCCCAGGGCAGGAAAAATTACACATCACAGCGGAAGCACCAACTCCAACATTATACATTACCTCAACTGTGTTATGCAGATTGCTCCTTCTGCATATCCTTCTCTCTGCATATTGCTGAGGTGATTTCAGGCCTCTTAGCTGGCCCAGCTCACAGGACTCACGTATTTCCCACCCTTCTCACACTCATTCTCAAGCCACGCCCTCCTTCACAAATTAATAAAATCCGGGTTGGGCCCTAGATCGAAGTCTTTGTTCTAAATGTTCATCCTGGCTAGACTTAGAACCCTTTGGCTCCCCATAACTATAAATATGTCTTAGAGTCTTTATTCTTGCACTGGAAGTGGTGGATTGGAATTAACTTATTATAATTCCAGTAACTTTTCCATGGGATTATAAATATAGCCTTCCTGAATTGAGACAAGGTCCAGGAAAGGCTCTCTAGTTTTTATTAGGTTGTCATGAAAGTGTGTGTTTTATTGGTATGGTGCTCTATTTGTTAAAATGAGGAACTAGACCATATTTTGTTGCTGTTGTTTTCTGAAGCAAAGTCTCACTGTATAACTCAAGTTAGTCTCAGAAGCATGGCAATTCTCCTGCCTCAGCCTCCCAAGTGCTGGGATTTCAGGCACATACCACCAAGCCCAGCTTGCAAGTTTGGTTTTGAGTATGCAGTAATTTAGGCCTACAGCACCTGCATCTCTCTTTATGCTCTTCCCCTCGACCTGATAAGTATTGAGAGCAGGCCCAGGTACCGCCTGCTCTGACTTTCTCAGATACTGAGGCTCAGACCAACCAGCTCTTTCAAGCACCCCATTCTGCAGGCCCAACCTGCAGCCACATAGATTTGCTCACTCCTGGTCACCCCTATTGCTGCCTGGCTGATATGGAGGTACTAACAGGTTCAGAGTGCACACACAGTCCTACAATGAAAAGCACCAACGTGCAAAACACACCACCAAACACATGTGAGAAGCAGCCTCACGGATTGACCCAGAACCTGGGCAGTGACTTTACCAGCTTGTAAAACAATCTTCCATCCTTTCTCCCCTGCCTTCAGTCCCAGATAACCAGTGTTTGGTTAACAATTGAGAATTGCGTGTACCTGACCTAAGGGAGAAAGGGGAAACTTAGGCTTGCACTAAACTCCCTCAATCCAAGCCTGACTACTTAAGACAATTGCTCTGTGTGACCTTATGTGGCTGTGCAGAGGCAGAGGTGCCACACACTCGATATTCAAATAGTCGGTCTGCTGTGTACACCACAGATCTTACCACCTTTCACCATGTGCCCAGTCTCTGAGCAGTTTTTCCTCCTTGACAGCCACCCTCTGTTCTGGGGTTTAAGCTCTTTCTGGTTAGAACTGCATGTCTACTGGTACCAAGAATAAAACTGAGCACACACACATCAATCCCTGTGCTCTGAGATCCATCACTACCGTGCTAGCAGACTTTCTCTCACTTTATAAGATTGCTCCTTCCAATCACCGCAGACCCTTAAGAGCAGAGAACTTCAGGTCAAGCTGTGTTCACATCCAGTCGGGACAGATGTCTCCTGGCTCTTTGACATCCAGTGTAGCCAGAGTCTGCAAGGCAGGATTTCCCTGACATCTGCACTCCCATTCATCCAAGATGGGCTGGGAGTGAAAAACCAAACAGCCCAACAGAAAGCAGAAGACAAAGAAAACACCCTGGCTAGGATGACTTGACCCTTCCAAGGTAGGCTGGTACCTTTCCTGTCCCAGGGCATCCTGAGAGTGCAGATTTGCAAGGTCTTCCAGAAATCAAATCAATTCTCTCTCTCTCTCTCTCTCTCTCTCTCTCTCTCTCTCTCTCTCTAAGTACCTGGAATTGAACCCAAGGCCTTCAGAGTGACCTATCTCCCTGTCCCTTTTATATTTTGAGACAGGGTCTCTCTAAATTGCTAAGTTGCTTAAACTGGCCTTAAACTTGGGATCCATCTGACTCAGCCTCCTGAGTAGCTAGGATTACAGGCGTGTGCCTCCATAGGTCACTGATGCTTTTATATTTTAAACCTCCTGATTAGCTCAGTGATGCTGGCAATCCTAATGCATAAATGAAGATACAGTCTGGGCATAGTGGTACATGCCTGTAACCCCACAACTCAGGAGGCTGAGGCAAGAGGATCGTCATGAGTTCAAGGCCAGACTGGATTACACAGAAAGCTCAAAACTAACTTAATTATATAGTGAGACCTTGTTTCAAAAAACAAAATAACAACAACAACAAAGCCAACCAAAAAAAAAAAAAAAAGGTTCCTGATCACAAAATAGAACTAAATGATCTCAGAATTTCACCCCCAAGTTTATACTGAAAGGAAATGAAATCAGTATCTCAAAGAGACCTGAGCACTGTCACATTGATTGAAGCAGTGTCTGCAATGGCAATTGCACAGACACAACCAACAGGTGAATGATACACATTTATAATTAAATCAACATGTCGGTGTGGTAATGTACACAATGAATCGATGACAAAGGTTCAGCTTTTAAAGTGAAGGAAACCCCAGCTGCAATCACATAGATGAATATGGAGGATATCATGCTAAGCGAAATAAATTGGGGAACCGAAAGACAGTAATTGCACTGTTCCATTTATGTGTGCAATCTAAAAACGTCAAACTCACAGTGAAGGGGCCAGGGATTTAGCTCAGCAGCATAAGCGTCTGCCTGGCGAGCGTGAGGTCATGAGTTCAATCCCTGGTACAAAAAAAACAAAAAACAAAAAAACAAAACAAAAACAACAACAACAAAAAAAACTCACAGTGAAAAGAAGGCGGGTCAGGGGCTGAAGGCACAGGGAGGGGAGGGGAGGGGAGGGGAGGGGAGGGGAGGGGAGGGAAGAGGTAGGGGTGGGGCAGGGGTAGGGGCAGGACGCGAGGAGAGGGAACAGGAAAACCCCAAGGGGGCTGTGTGCTCCTCCCTCTCCTCCTCCTCCCTGCAGTTTGGTTCCCTCTTTTTTCCTCTCCCTACAGGGATGTTGCAGAATCCCAGTTCGGGCTCACCCCGGAGCCGGTGACCTGTTCCTGCTCTGGGCGCTGCACATGGAACCCTGGCAGGAGTAGGACTTTCACTTTCACATGCAGCCCGGGACCTGGGTTTGTCCTTCCCGAGCCAGGCAGCCCGGTTGCTCAGTCCGGCCCAGTCTCCCCTCCTCTCGATGGATCGCCGCGTTTCCTGAGGGCCTGGCTACGCCTTCGCCCTCTGGGGCTGCCCCTCCCGCAAGACCAAAAGAGAGGTGCAGGCGCGGGGTGGTCACATGCAAGGGCGGGGTTCTCCCTCCTCTGCTGAGCTATGCCCCCGCCCATTCAAAGTTACTTTAACGACATCAAATTTCAGTGTTTTATTTGTATTTTTAAGATTCTGGAGCTTAAGCCCAGAGAATGCTGAGGTACATCCTCAGCCCCCCAACTCCTCGCTTTTTTCCCTGCGGCGGGGGTGGGGGGAGGAGGCTTCATCTCTCTATGCGGTTCAGGCTGGCTTTGAGCTCATTTTGTAGCCCAGGCTGGCCTCGAACTTGCAACAATCCTCCCGCCTCAGCCTTCCCAGTGCTGGGATTACTGGCCTGAGCCACCATGCCTGGTTACTGGGTCCTTTTATAAATTCTGAGACAGAGTCTCACTGTGTTGCTCATTCTGCCCTTGGATTCCCAGTCCTCCTGCCTGGGCCTCTCAGTGGCTGGAATTACAGGTGTTCACCTCCATACTGACTTGTCTCACCCCTTTTTACACATGTAGTGTAGCGGGGTTACGTAAATTCCTAACACTGTGCCACCACCATCAAGGCCCCTAGCCATCTCCAGAACTCTGTTGATCTTATAAACTTAAAAACTTAAAACTTTATTCTCGTTAAATAATAACTTCCACTCTCCCTTTTTCCAGTACCTGGCAGCCACCATTCATCTTCCCTCTCTAATTTTGACTGCTAGGTACCTTCTGTACAGAGGACCACGGTTCGCTTAGCCAGTGTCTCCACGGCCCGGGATCGCTTCCACATTCTAGTGATTGTAACAGTGCTGCTTTGAACGTGGGCCTGAGACCGCCCCTTTGAAGTCCTGTTTCCCATTATTTTGGGTGTATACCTAGAATGAAAATGCTGAATCATGTGCTAATTCTAGTTTTAATTTTCAGAGCAACTGCTATCCTGTTTCCCACAGCAGCTGCATTTTATATTCCCACAAACAATGTACAAATGTTTACTTTATTTCTTGATAGTGTTCTTCCTAACCAAGATGAGGTGCTGTCACGTGCATTCCCCTCATAATAGTGATTTTGAACATCTTTCCCTATGCTTGTTGACCATTTGCATGGTGGATTATTGATTTGTTTGCTTTTGGAGACAGAGTCTTGCTATATAGTCTAGGCTGGCCTTGAACACACTGTATAGCCCAGGCTGGCCCAGGTTTGCAGTGAACCTCCTGCCTCAGCCTCCCTCCCCAGAGCCATCATACCCAGCGACCATTTGTCTATCTTCTTAGGAGAAGTACCATTCAAATCCTATTCTATTTTTGAGAAAGGTTATTTGTTGTTTCATTTAAGGAGTTCTGTATATCCTGAGTATCAGCCCTATATCAGATGTGTGATTTGCAAATATTTTCACCTATTCTGTGGTTACCTTTTCACTTTGTTGATAATGTCATTCCCCCCCCCCCCCCAGTGCTGGAGATTGATCTCAGGGTCTTCTTGCCCATCCTAACAGGCATCTTATCAGTGAGATACACCTCTAGCCCATACTTTGTCTTGAAACACAAACTATTTAATTGCCATGAAGTCCAGTTTGCCTCTTTTTTCTTTTCCTGATTATGCTTTTGCCCTGGGTCTTCTGAGACTTCTATAGTTTTCACACTTTCATTTAATTTTCTCAGCTATTTTGAGTTCATTTTTGTATATTATCTCACCCTTAAATCTTCAATATGCATCTCTAAGGAGTAAGAACTGTTTAAAAATATAACGAGAATGCTATCATCATACAACATATAATCCCAGCACTCGGGAGGCTGAGGCAGAAAAATTGCTGAGGGTTTGAGGCTAGTCTGGGCTACAAAGTGAGTTCAAGGCCAGCCTAAACAGCATAGTGAAACCCTGTCTCACAAAAAAGACAAACCAAAACCAAAAACAAACCCCACCCCCATAAAACATAACTAGCAATAATTTCTTTTATTAAGTATCCAGGACCAAACAGCTCTGCAGCCTGCATAGGAAATAGGGGGACTGGGGCAGGGGTCACAGAGGAGATGGTGAGCAGCAGGGCAGATGCCTCAGGCCAGCAGTGCCCCCTTCTTTTTTTTTTTTTTTTTTTGTCTTTTTCATTTTTATCGGTACCAGGGATCGAACTCATGACTGCCTGCTTGTAAGGCAGGCGCTTATGCCGCTGAGCTAAATCCCCAGCCCCCAGTGCCCCCTTCTTGCTGGTAAGCTTGAAAGAAGCTCACCAGCACCCAGTTGCCTTTCCTCTTATAGATGCTGCGTCCCACCTGACCCCAGAGTTCTCAGAGTCAACAAACAAAAACAGAATGTTCGGTTCAATTTGATTTTCAGGTAAGCAGTGAGTACTTTTTTTTAAAGTATAAATGTATCTCTTGCAATATCTGGAGCATATATAATCCATTGTGTATCCTAAATTCAAATTGAATGGGGCTGGAGATTAGCTCAATGGCAGAGTAAATCTAGCATAGGCAAAGGCCTGGGTTAGATCCCCAGCACCATCGCTACTATTACAAAGAGTCCAGTATTTTAGCAACCTCACATCCCACCCCTACCCCTACTGACAGTAGAAGGGTGCTTTCTGACCTCTAAACCACCTTAGCTCTATTTAGCCCTGGCTCACACCCAGGTAACAACCTGGCCAAGTGTGGACACAGAACATAGTCATGGACTGGGCACATCTAGGGGGCTGGTGATGGAACCGGATAGCAGCAGCTCTAAAGCCCCGCCAAGGGCCAGGACCCCGAAGGGAGCCTTCTTTTGGCCCCTCCCCCGCCGTCCTCGCGCCTCCCCTCCCCAGGGACGTGGTGTGGCTCCCAAGCCCTTCCTCTCATACGCGGCAGGGACATCACAATTCCAACAGAGCTCTACCTAAAATTCCCTTTGCTTTTTGCCAGCTCTGAAAAGTGAATCCATTAAACAGCCTGGTTAGAGGGAGGTTCCCCTTTACAAGCTCAGCTGCTCTGAGCTTGTAAAGATCCAAGCAGCTGCTGTTACAACAGGAATCAAATTTCATTCTTCAGTACCTCTTCCAGGAATACGGAAAAGACCAACTGGCTCAGGTGCTTTGTATTAACGGCAAGAGGCTCTCAGCAAGCCTGGACCGCCTCAAATTTATTAAGGGTGGGGTGTCGAGCCAGGCAGTGAACCCACCCGTGTGGAAGACTTGCCGGACCTTGAGACCTTACATCCCCGAGTCTCGGGTCTCGGAGGAAGAGAGCGCTTCACCTGCTGTCTAAGGTGCCCTCACCTGGCAAATGGCTTCCCACGCAACACAACCATTCTTGCTGTTTTATTTATTGTGAGAGACAGCACACAGCGATGTAAGACATACAAGTACAGTTTAAAGTGTCACTGTGTGCTGAACACCCGTAGGCCCACCTCTACGACCAGAATAGTGCTAAGCTCCCCAGCTCCGCAGAAAACAATGGGCACTGCCCCCTCAGATCCCCTTCCTCCAAAGTGCTCACTGCATTGTCCGGTAGGAGTCACTTCCTTGCTTTTTTCCTCTTCTTCTCCCTTTCCTCCTCCCTTCCTCCCTCCCTCCCTTCCTTCCTTCCTTCCTTCTGGTGTGTGTGTTTTTGTGTGTTACTGGAGATTGAAGCTAGACCCTTTGCTCTGAGCTACATTCCCACTCTTATTTGCTTATTTATTATACCAGGAATTGAACACAGATCTCCAGTCCATTTACTTTCTTTGTTTCTTTCTTTCTTTCTTTTTTTTTTTTTTTTTTTTTTTTTTTTTGGTCTTTTTGAGACAAGGTCTCATTGTGTAGTTCGGGCTGGCCTTGTGCTTACTTTGTAGCCCAGGCTGGTCCCAAACTCGCAAGGACCCTCCTGCTTCAATCTCCCAAGTGCTGGGATTACAGGCATGTGCACCACCATGCCTAGCCCCATTTTCTATTCTGAGATGAGATTGCCCAGGTTGGCCTTGAACTTGCAAACCTTCTGCGTCAGTTTCCCAAGTATTTGGGGTTTTACAGCCCTGTACCACCACATACAGCTCTTGCTTTTTTTTTCCCTTTGTCATTTCCACTATGCACGCCCCACTCAGCCAGAACCTACATTCAACATTTCCACCAATGGGTTTATGCTGTACATATGCTCTGTGATTTGTTCCTTCTTCCTCCCAGTGGTTCTTAGAGGAGGCCTTGAAGAATGACCCTTTGGTGCCTAGAGATGTCAGTCTTGTGAATTCAAGAAGCGTACTGTCTTTAAAAAATTGATACGAAGTCCCATTGGCCAGCTTATGGTCTTTCTTTCCCTCTTTTATAAAATTAGAACAAATTACACCCCAGGATATGAGCACCTCCAAAACAAGAAGTGCACCTCATTTGTTACTCTGTCCCCAGCAGCTGGCTGCCTGGTGAACTTGAGTGAACAGAGGAATGGGTCATGGAAGGTATTGTGGGGGCACACCTGAGTCACAAAAGTGTTCACACATCATAGCCGGTCTTATTATTGTCACCACTGGTGTTTATTTGAATATGTGTCACCAAGGACCCCCACCCCCTATTAGGCATGTACTTTTTGTGCACCCCGGAAATAGTGCAGGCTCTTCTGACTCACTTCTAACAAATAGAACAAAAGTGACAGGATGCCTTAGTCTGCTTTTTGCTGCTATAACAGAATACCTGGGATGGGTAGCTTATAAAGAACAGAAATGTATTCAGTTCTGGTTCCTAGGAAGTCCAAGATCAAGGTGCCAGCATCTGATGAAGGCTTTGTGCTGAGTCTTCACACAGGAGAACAGCAGGAGCAGGAGAAGCCATTCTCATCAGCCCTGGTAACAGTGGCATCCACTCATTAGTCCTAGTGGCCTAAATATCTCCTGAAGGCCCCCTTTCCCCACCTGGATGGAAGAACCCATTCTACACTTGAAGGCAACCCTGACTTCCCAGGAACCCAAGCCTCCTAGTAGCCCAGTACCTGGGTCCAAATGCAGAGCCCACACCTTGCTGGTTCTGCAATGCCCCCTAATTACTTGGCTTCTGAGCTATGCTTTCCTCACACATCAAGTGCATGACAAATATAATGTAGGAGGTAGGAAGCTATGTTTATGGAGTGTGCAATAGAATTCCCAGCACATAGATGCTAGATAAAAGATAACCATCATCTGTTTACACCCTGCACACCAGCTAGCTCCTCCATAGCAAGCATGATTGCCAAGGAGCTGGTACGTTGTCTATTAAGCTAGCAAGACTGTTGACATTCATGAGGGCTTCTCCCATCACCTTGACAGGAGCCTCCCCTAAACCACCAAATACCATCACAGCAATATCGCCACCCATGGAATGAAACAGAGTACAACTCAAAATTACACCTGATTCTTTAGGTCCTTCACGGTTCAATAAAAAAGGAACTCAAGCTTTATTAAATTGTTTAAAGTAGATATGGCTGGAATAATGCTACAACAATTGGGTGAATTGTTTCTCTTGTTTGCTTTGGACTTGATAGCATCATCAGAAAGCCAAGTCACTGTGCAGTGTCATCCTTTTAATAAACTCAGACATGTGACATCCAACAGGTCCAGACCTGTTCCTCCCATGATCTGCCCCATCTTGGTAGTTAATTCCCTTTAAGAAAGTGGAAAGTCCTCTGTGCTTATCTCTCTTTCATTCCCCACCTCCTGCCCCACCTGCTTCAGAGAGACCCCGTAGCCATGGTATTGAGGGTATCTGAGAAGACAGGAGATAGAGCCATTTGCTGCAGCATGGATCAAAAGAAAAGGAACAGATCAGAGGGCACGATATGAAAAATAGTCTAAATTTTCATTTTCAGAAATATCAGTATTTCTGAAGTACCCCAGGGGAGAGATCTTTCAGAGGAAATGAGTTAAATGGCTCTTTAAAAATCGTAGTGGTTTGAAAATGTAGCACTAAGCCACAGTCTATTTGCTGTTACTATAGCAGAATCCCTGAGACTAGGTACCTTATAAAGGAGGTTTATTCTGAATGATGGTTCTGGATGCTAGGAATCTGAGGGCATGGGACCGACATCTGCTTGGCTTTCAGGGAGTGCCTTGGGCTGCTTCCAACTCGGGGGGAAGCTGGAAGGGCAGGCAAAAGTGAGAACTCACAGGAGAAGGGCATTGGTCTGTTCACGAGGACTCCGCCTCCACAACCCAAACTCCTTCCCCTTGGTCCCGTCTCCCAACACTGTCCCAGGAAGGAATGAGCTTGGACTGTGGGGACCCACTCAAGCTCTAGTAGGAACATATACTGCACTGTATAATTTCCGTGTACTTTACGGTTTTGAAGGTCTCTCTCCTGTCTGTGGTTCCATGGATGCTTATTTTTAAAAGCCAGACATCATTTTATTTCTCAGTCTATGACAATACAAAGTCTTCAAAGGAAAGTAAAGATTGGCAACAGCTAGAAACAATTCATCACTCACTGGTGTAAGCCTTAAATCCATCAAGAGAAACCATCTAGCACATTTTGAATAAGGTTAAAAGAGAAACAGCGACAGGCAGGAATAAATCAACAGCTCCAATTGGATCCTCATACTCGAGAGAGATCTAACCCTAACCCTGTGGCTCTCAGCACTGCTGCTAAAGACTTCAGCTACTCTCTGGATGGTTAGGTCAGAAACTGTAGTCAACCGGGGTGGGGAGATGGTTTGAAATAACTGAGAATTACAAGGGGGTTGGAAGTGTCTCAGGTAACATTTAAAAGTGCAAGGTCATGAGTTCGATCCTAGGTACCAAAAAAAAAAAAAAAAAAATAAGTACCGACTGAAAGGTTAGTATTCATGGACATTTAAAAATAATAATTATTCTAAATTTAAAAAACAGATGCAACCTTGTGATAGTGAATGCAAATTCTTATTAGTTGATCCAGGTTTTGCTGCTCTGTTTGAGAGTGAAAGACCTGCCTAACAATGTTCCTTCCAAGGCACGAATGATTTCCTTTATGCAGTACGTCTCACTGGGTCTGTGTCACCACCTGCCCTACGTCACCATCTGCCGTACACAGATGGCAAAGCGCTGGCATGGCCTCGGATGAGCTGCAGGGTGGGTCACTGCTTTCCTCTCCATTTGACGCTTGTTAGGCTTTGGCCACAGCCTGCCTGAACTCAGGTCTCACCGCTGCCACTTCCTACTGGAGTCATCTTGGGAAAGTTCTTTCAGTCTGCTTTGCCTCGAGTTCCTCATCTGGAAAACGAGGAGAATAACAGTCCCAGCTAGGAGGCTGATGATTCAGTGGCTCAACAGCTGCAAAGCCCTAGGACGAGGGCCTGCATTCGGTAGGTGCTAGGCCAGGCTGGCTGCCCCTGTTCTCTCTGCCTGGCAACCCCACCGTCCTCCCCACTTCTCACACTTCACTGTAGCGCTGGGATCCACGTGAAGCCTTGTCCGTGCCTGCTCTTGCCACTGTCCTCTTACCTGTCACCTGGAGGAGAAGCGAGTGAGATGGCAACAGGAGCCTCTGGAGGGTCTGGAAGGGGGGCTGACCCCGCCACCCCAGGAATCAACATCATTACCCGCGGGGTATTCAGTGACCAAAGCCCTGGGAATATCTGGGTGGGGAGAAGGAGGAGCTGCCCCCAGGGAGTTCTGCCCAAAACTGGAGGGAAATGGAAGTGTTTGGTTCAAAATGAGTTTCACTTACTTTATTCCTGTTTGGCCAATTTAGATTTCCTGGCAGGTCTCAAAACAACTCCCTTTGCTGACCTGACATGGTGTGGTTCCAATCACGGCCCAGCCAAACCACTCAGCAAGACACTAAGGTGAGGTCACTTGGTTCCCTGGCAGCACACTGGGAACAAATCCTAGCAAGTTAAATTCCAGGTGAATTTAGCTGAACACTCCCCAGAGACCTGAGAGCTCCAGAAGCCCTGGGTGGCAAAGCAGGACAGGGTGAGAGGACCACCCCATTGTCACATGAGCTCGCCCAGTGGATGAGGCTTAGGTACTTCTGGGTTAGTTCCTCTTCCCAACAGTCCTGCCAGGAAGGCGTTATGTATCTCATTGACAGAGAGGTTAAGAAATTTGCCCAAACTCACACAGCTGGAAGAGGCAGCCTGGGATGGCCTTGCAGCGTGTCTGGCTCTGGGACCTGACTGCTTTCTGCAGATCCAGAGATGGTTACAAGAGTAGCGTCAGTACTGCTGAGCATTAGGCTGTTCGTGGCACAGTCTGAAACCTGTAGTAACAGTAACTGCCATTCAGAAACTCTTCATCTGTTATTCTATTTACTCTTCCTAATGGCCCTGCAAAGAAGGTGCTCCTATTGTCTTGCTTTAGCAGCTGAGATCAAGGGGCAGGGACTCTCAAGTTGTCCAAGGTCATATACAGCAGGCAACGGAGCCAGAGCTCGGATTCCAACTCGAGAGTGGCTGCAAAGCCCATGTGCTGAGGCCCTGTGCTGCCGTCTACTAGAACAGGTGCCACTGCTCTTGAGCACTGACCTCAGCCTTTCTAGAGCTCTGTGCAGAGGGCGGAGAAGGGACACACTTGCCCTGATGATTAAGATACGAGTGCTGGAGCCAGAGAGCCCCAAATTCAGACCTTTAGGGTTGCCCTTCTAGCCCCCACTTTCCCATCCTGAGCCATTGTCACCGTGCTCTCCTCCTGCCATTTGCCAAGCCTAGGAGGTGACCACATGGGGTACCCTGCCAGAGCCCTCCTCCCTCCCTGTCCCTCTTGTTAATATCAGCAGGCCACAGACCTCAGCACCCGTACAGTTTTTTCTGGTGGCAGCAGTGGTGGTGGTGGTGGGGGGACAGGACACAGTCACCCATGCCCATGGCAACAGGGAACAATGGAAATTTTACTGCCAGTTCCAAATCAGAGCAGGAAAGGGAAACTACAGAAAACACTCTTGGTTTTATGTTCCTGTGCTTTTACGTCCCCTGCCACCCATTTGTTTGTCACCCTCTGGGTGACACATCGGGATGAGGGAGGGAGGAGTGACAGGAGAGGACTTCTCTCTTCCCATCTTTCCTCATTCTCCCCGACTTCCAGAAACCACCATTTTCCCTCATCACCCATGCCCTCGGGTGCCTCCCTTCCCCCCAGACGGCTTGCCCAAGTGCTCCTTCCTCAGACGCGTGGCCCTGTCTTGTGAGGGCTGAGGCTCTTGGAGGAAGGCAGTGGAAGGCAATGGAAGGCAATGGAAGCCGGCACCACGAGCTGTCATGCTTGTCCCTGGAGAGAAACATCAGCTGCCTTGCCTGCACTGGCTTTTCCCCGTTTCCTTGTCACTGTCTCCATGGGTCACTGGTTTCAAAGGTCCCCAAGTCCGCCTGGAGCTATGTTTTCCTGTCTGTGAGTTTCTAGCTCCTCCTAACAGCAAGAGGGATTTGTCCCCAAAGGCTGCCAGAGGCGGTGGCAGGAACCTCAGAGAGCAGTTACCTTGAAGAGCCTTCCCTGGCGAACAGGCTGTTTCTCTTCCAAGTTGGAAAAATTTTCACCTTGTGCCAATTAGTCCAGAGGGCACTGGGAACTCTGCCAGGTGAAACACCCAAACCCTTAAAGGGGAAGTGAGCAAAGAACAAAGACAGCTTTCCAGGGGCTGAGCAGCAGCTGGGTGGTTTTTAAAGCGGAGGCACGAGGTAACCCTGGAGGAACATGAAGGAATATAGCGTCAAATCCATCTTAGAAACACTCACCCCTGATTAAAGTTAAATACTCGGCTCTTTTCCCTCAGGAGAGTACAGATTCCATTGTCAAGTTCTCCAAGTGGCCCCATCCCCTGAGCATTACCCGGCAAAGACTTATCAGAAGGATCCTGAGGTCTGTACATGCACAGATCACTTGATCAGGCATAAAGCTCATTATCTATGATCATAACAGAAGGGCTGGTGATTGGCGCATGCTTCTTTTCAATCATATGGGCTTGGAGATGTGCTGTGCGGTTACTCTGGAAACAGATTGGCCACCTCTCTCCACTGAACTTTGCTCAAGACAGCCCTGGCCTTCCTTTGGTTCCCGCCACGTGAGCAGCACTTGGATGTCTGGGGGAGGGCGGACATGCAAGCTGGCTCAGACTGACTGCCCACTCCAACATGTGTAGAAGGGGTGGCCCTTCTTCTGCCTGACTCAGAGACAGAGATGGCTGAGCAGCCACTGGAAACCTCTATCCTTGGTTAGGGTGAAAAAAGAAATCTTACAGGTGCTGGTCAGACTCATTACACGTGGTTAGAAGAGAGGACAGTGGGAGGTGTCCAGAGAGATCCAGCTGGCTCTGGACACCAGAGGACATGAAACAAAGTATCATCATGGAGGACTGTCATGGTTTGGATCTTAAATGTCCCCTGGAGGCCATGTCCTAAAGGCTTGGTCACCATCTGCGGCACTGTTGGGAGGGGATGAAGTTGGGGGTGAGTGGGAAGGAGTTAAGTCCCTGAGCAGCTGCACTTTGAGGGACATGAAGACATTGGCCCCTTTCTCTCTTTGCTTCCTGGGGCCACTATGAGATGAGCGGCCTCCTCCATCATTGATGGAGCCTTCTTTCCATCACCGATGTCCAACTGCCATGATGTCCCATCATCATGAAGTCCGGCTATGATGTCCATGATATTCCAACACCACGATGTTCTTCCGCCATGAAGTCCTGCCTCACCACAGGGCCAAAAGCAGCCAGGCCAACCATGGACTGAGACCTCAGAAATAGTGAACCAAAATAAAACCTCTCCCTTTTAAATTGTTTACCTCGGGTATTTTGTCACAGTAAGGGAAATCCATAGGTAATATTTAGTTCCAGAGAGGGGAGGTGGGAGTAGCAGCATCTGCTTTTGAGCCTCACCCTGATATTACTGCCCACAAATTATGGAAACATTTTTGTTCTTTTTATTTGTTTTGCTTTTAGTGCTGGGGATTGAACCTAGGACCTCATGCCTACTAAACACATACTCTACCACTGAGCGACAGCCATCGCCCCTGCTGTGACAAGAAAGAGCACACATCAGAAGTGCTTGTGGGCATCACAGCAGAATACTACACTCTTCTCACCGACCACATTTTTTGAGGAACAAAGTGACCACAGTTTTTGAGGAACAGCAGCAACAACAAACAAACAAACAAACAAACAATAAAACAAGCCGGGCGTGGTGGCACACTCCTGTAATCCCAGCACTCGGGAGGCTGAGGTAGGCAGATTGTTGCAAGTTCGAGACCAGCCTGGGCTATAAAGTGAGTCCAAGGTCAGCCCAAGGCCAGTATACTGCACAGCGAACCCCAGTCTCAAAAAGACAGAAACAAAACAAACAAACAAACAAAAAAACAATAAAACAATTTTCTGAGCCTAACTTACAGTAGGCCTGAGTCCCAAAGCATCTGTTTCCACCAGATTTTCTTAATGGTAACCAGGCACATTCTAACACATTCTTTGTTTATTTGCTTGTTTTTCCTGCTTCCAGGAGGAGAATTAAATGTGTGCCCAGATAAATGCCAACACCACTTTAATTTGCTTGTGGTTCTCTCAAGAGGGCTTTTGAGTTGCTCTTAGAGTAGGGGCGGTACTCCCCAGAGACAGGATAAATGGGACAAGTGTACCCCATCCTGTCTCCAGCTCCCCTCCACCCTTTCCGCCTGAAGCAACTACACTGAAAGTTGATGTCACAAATCCCATAGTTTCACTGGGAGTCTCTCTTTACTGACATGTTTTCGTTTTTTGTTAAGGGCTGGGAATACGTATGGGGTCAAACTTCACGACCCAGTCTCAAGGTATATTTGAAAGGCTTTTCCCTATGGCAGTCGTTCTTGGCTCTTCTAGGCTTATGACGAAGAGTGTGAAATGCCTTTCCCAGTTTCTAAAACTACACTGTATTTGGTTAGATTTAGGGAGCTGGGTGTGTACCTCAGTGGGACGCACTGTGCACAAAGCCTGGAGTCAAATCGGCAGCACAGGCACAACATATGCGCGCACCCACAACGTACACACGCACACATACACATTTGCACATGTACAACGGTTTAGTTAGATTTGGGTTTGACTATTGTTGGCAGAAAAGCTAAATCGACAGTGGCTGAGACATAAATTTATTTCTCTCCCGTGTACAGAGAGGAAAATGGTACAAAGGCATATTGGTGGCTCTGCTCTTAAAGTGCTCGGGAACTCGGGCTCCTCCCTGTAAATCTCTCCCCCGTGCCTAATGTGGTCCTTAAACTCAGGATTCCTAACAGCTGCACCTCCATGTGAGCCAGTAAAATGAAAGATTAGAGGGCGAATGGCAGTGAAAATGTACATGTAGGGAAAGGTTTCCGGCCACTTCTGTTACTGTTCATTGCATTGGCCAAAGCTAGTCAGGTGCCCACATTTAACTGCAGGGGGTGCTGGGAAATGTATTCTTTTCTGGGTGGTTGTGTATCCAGTTAAAAATTCCATTCCTTTCTCTCTCTCTCTCTCTCTCTCTCTTTTTCTTTCTTTCTTTCTTTTTTTGTCTTTTTCCTTTTTATCAGTACCAGGTCTTTCTTTCTTTCTTCCTTTCCTTCCTGCCCTCCTTCCCTCTCTCCTTTCTTTCCTCCCTTCCTTCGTCTTTTTCTCAGTGTTGAGAATCAAACCCAGGGTCTGGCACATGATAGGCAAGTACTCTACTACTGAGTTATGCCCCTGGTCCCCCTTTTTTTGAGATGGGAGATTCACTCTATCGACAAAGGCTGGCCTAAAATCCTATGTTCAAGCAATCTTCCTGCCTCAGCCTCCAGTGCCACTGTCATGACATGTTCCGAAGTGAGGGAAGTATGAGAGAAATGAGTGCTGGCCCGAGGGGATGGGCTGCTTCTGGATGGCTCCTGCTGATGTCAACCTCTTGGCATTCAGCTCTTGTGCAATCTCCTCCACGTGGGCTGGACCTTCTGACTTCCTCCTGAAGAACAGAGTGGGCAAGATTAAAAATGGCACAGTGGAGACCAGCAGCAAAGCACAGCCTCTCTGGGACGGAGAATAGAAACCTGGAATGCAACAACTTGGTAAAGAGGACAAAGCAGATCTCCGGGAATCAGGAGGAAAGCAGGAACTACAGAGAGGCTGGAAAAATGGGCCCCGAAGCAGAGACAGGTACCAGCTTTTGCTGACATAAGCCCAGAGAGGGTCAGCGCTCCAGGGAGAAACAAGAGCCCAGGCAGCTCTAACTCCAAGAAAATCCTGTGATGATTGTAAACTGCAAAAATAGCATGAGATTTTACTCTGAAAGGGGTTCCCTCCGTGTTGCAGGACTAGAGTTGGAGAGGAAGTCCAGGGTAGCACCTGCAATATCGGAGAGGGTTTAATCAGGAGCCTTTTTTGGGTACCAGGCATTGAACTCAGAACCTTGTGCTGGCCCTAGGGAGCCATTTTGAAAAGCTGTTATTATTTGCTCAAGAGTAAACTATAGAACAACCATACTTTGATTACCAGTGTCATTACCTACAGCAGTGACTGTGTGGGGGCTGACCACAGGGACAGCTCTGAGGGGCCAGGAGTGATGGCTCATGCCTGGAATTCCAACACTCAGGCGGCTGAGTCAGGAGGCTCGCTGGGAGTTCGCACTAAGCCTGGGCTACATAGTGAGTTCAAGGCCAGCCTGAACTCCATAGTGAGATCCTGTCTCAAAACAAAATAAAGCAAAACAAACCTCAAAAACGAACACAAAGTGTAACAAAATAGCAGTTACTCACTGTGTCTTCCCCTCTCCGGTGAATTCCAATGCTCATTGGAAAGAAACCACTCATTAACACACACACACACACACACACACACACATTTTTAAAAATTGGTTTTGGGTCCCCTCCCCCCACCCCGCTTTATTCCTTCTATTCTTTTCTTTCTTCCCTTTTTTCTTTTATGCTCTCTGATTTTTTTTTTTTTTTTTTTTTGGAGACAGATTCTTGCTGCATAGTTCAAGCTGGGCTTGAATTGATTATGTAGCCCAGGCTGGCCTCAAACTTATGGTGATCCTCCTGCGCAGCCTCCTGAGAGCTAGGATTACAGGCATGTGCCACCATACCTAGCTGGTTTTCATTTTCTGACTTGTTATTTTCTCATACTTTTACCTAATTCTATTAATTTTCTTCTATTCTTTAATAGGATTATTTATCATACTTTCCTCCCAGCCTTCTCTTCTTCCTTTTGGTTTTCAAATTTTACTTCTTTCATTCTCTTATTCTTTACCCCCTCCACCTTTTTTTTTTTTTTTTTTTTTTTTTTGTCTTTTTCCTTTTTATCGGTACCAGGGATCGAACTCACGACTGCCAGCTTGCAAGTCAGGCACTTATGCCACTGAGCTAAACCTCCAGCCCCATACCCCCTCCATTTTAACTAGTATAATCATTAATCTTTATTACTCTTTAGGTATTTAGTTAATACTGCTCAATTCTTTTTTGTTTTCTAATGGCGCTGTTTTCTTACAGCTTTGATAAATATTTATATCTTGATAGATATTTATTGTGTGTTAATATTTGGCTTATCTTTGTGTCTGCATTACAATTATAGATCTCTTTAAGGTTAAGAGGGATGCAGTGGTAGCTTGTATCGGTTCTTATGCTGCCCCAGTATCCAGGCTGTCTTTGACTCTTGCCAGTGACTGTTACTTTGGCTGGGGTGGAACAGTGGTGGCTAGTGATTCTTCTCCACTGCGCGCCAGTGTCTGCTTTGTCTTTGTATCATCTACAATATTGTGGTTTATTTCTGGAGACTGGGTACTGGGCCAAATATATAATATCTCCTCTCAAATTAATGGAAGCAGTTGGCTTTTGGAACAGAGGCAAGGATGTGTAGTTAGCTATAAATCTCTAAAAATTAGAGGCTAAGTAATGATATCATAGCAGCAACAAAGTCTTTCCACTATAAACAACCTGCAAACCCCACTGTACATTCTCTCTCTCCCTCTCCCTCTCACCAAACAATAGAAACATAAGAA